AGCATTCTATAATTCTATGATAACAGCACTCAGTTTAGGGGCTTCTACTACTACTTTGCTTAGCTAAAAAGAAACAAAGTTTCTGGAGCTGCAAACTGAGTACCAGAAGTTAGACAGGGAAGTTGAAGGGGAAAAGAACAACTTGGAAGCATTAAGTTTTAAAGGCAATGTACTGCAAGGTGATATAAAAATCACTAGGAGGATGAGATGTTTGATCAAGAATGCACAATGGAGATAACAGTATAATCTGAGAAAGACAGTGCTTCTAGTCTGTGATCTGTTATTTATAACCAGAAAATGTGGTCAGTGTGCAGTCCTCAGTTTCCAAGTAGAAACTACAGTTTCTTTGTTACACAGTAAGGACTTAATTGGGTGTTTTCTTCAAGCTGTGAACAGGGAGCAGCATGTGGCTTGTCTAGACTTTGTTTTGAGATTCTTAATTTTAATTTTTCTGTTTTCTTTTTTTTTTTTTTTTTTTTTTAAGTGTTCTAAGACTACCTTAGTTTCCCATCTTGTGGAAAAGAGAGTGTGTTTCTTTCTGTGGTAGTGAATAGGCTGAAAGCAGATCTGTTATTGCCTCTGTAATTCTAAATCCTCTGAAGTGGATGTAATCCTGCCCTGAAGGTCTATCTGTGCATCCAGCTTCTCAGCTTCTTCAGGCTGGACACAGGTACAAGGGATAGAAAGCTTTTCCTCACAAGGCTTTCAGAGTGAGACAAGTCATTAGAATTGGGAGAAGCATTTTATTTTTTTATATACAGAAAGCATTTTTTCTCCTGAAAATAAATAGTATTGTATTAGTTACAAGCATTGTGACATCTCAAAGGCCATCTAAGAAGAGTATTTAAAACTTATATTAAGTGCTATTTTGTCTCTTCCTATCAGAAACTGCAAGCTGGCCAGTTCAGATATCTTTGTCAGCAATACTGGAATAATTTTATAGGGATTTCGGTAAGATAGATGCTTCTGGGGTACAAAATTATATAACATATAACAGAAGCTAATGTTGAAAGGAAAATTAAGTGAAGCTAAAAAGCAGAAAAATCAAAATTTAAGTGGAAACACCTCCCTCTTCACAAACACAAAGAAAAAACTCATGAAGAAATTTTTGATGCCTTACCACAGAATGTCTCACTTTCCAGAAGTTTATCCTTTTGGTTTTTTAAAATGTGTTGTGACCTATATGAAGAAAACAGTAAGAAATAATAGTTTTGTTATTTTTGACACCCAGTTATTACAAGGAAAAGCAGAAGAGGTCCATCTCTGCTTCAGTGTATCTACATAAAGGAACCATGACAAAAAGCTTTCATTGGGCAAGAGTTTGAAAGCATAAAATAAGCTGATATGAGTTAAACAGCTATGATGTATTTAAAATAAAAAATGTTAAAGCTGTCCCTTTAATTTCTGTTATAGTTGGAGCAATTTACATCCAGTGGTTTCTGTCCCCATCTTTTTCTAGAGAAACGGAACATTAAAAAAATATGTGCATACTTTAATGTTAGATTGAAGATGAAAAGGGAAAGGATGGCAAATGAGATATTAAAATCCTTTCTTTTAGAATGACCATAATGCATGTATTAGCTCTTTTAGTAAATCCTCCACTTAATATTAAATTAAATTTTTGCTGTGTACATAATTTCTTTGCTTACCACCACACTAAATTCTTTGTTTCATTTCTTCTTTTGCCTTTCCCTCATCTTTCTAAAATAAGCATATTCTTTTCAAGTGTCTCTCATCCTTCACAATTCTTTCATTTGATTTAGCTCAATTTTCCTTCTCTTATTTAATAGACTACTTCTACCTTTCCTTTCCAGTGATTTCCTTCTTCTGCTTCAGTTTAATATATCAGGACAGCTTTTTTTCTAGTCAAAGTAAAATAACATTAATGAAGGAATGATGGAACACTATACGGCCAATAGCTTTGCTAACATTTTCCTTTTGGGCAACTGAAGTCAGAAGAAATGGTGCAAAAAATGGGTATATATATATATATATATATATATATATAAAGTTGAGTACTAGGAAGGTACAAATAGCATAGCAACGGCAATTCTGAGGGCATGCCATAATTACAAGCTTATTAAAGTGACTTTGCTTTGAGACCAAGGCCACTGTTTCAAGGACTGCCTTTGGAAGAAAGGCATGTTTCCACTCTTAGAACATGTCTTGAAAACATTTCATTTTTGCTTTACCAGCTGCAGCAATAAGTCACAAGAGAAACTTGCAAACACTAAGACAGATTTGAGATTAAAAAATACTACCAAAATTCCCTCTAACTAGAGCTGCCAAAAGAAATAACAGGTCCTGTTGTCTCACTGCCTGGTAAGTGAAAGCCCCCTGCTTGAAAAATTCAGAAAGGCTAGCAGTTGGAACCTGGACCTGAATTTGGTTGCAACAGCCAGAGACGAAAGCAGTACTCCAAGGGAAATTCATTATAGCAAAATTCAATCACAAGGCAAAGGAAAGATCACAGTTTTTTTTTGTGTTTCCAGATGCATATCTGGAATAGTTTAAAGAGCTGGAGATAAGAGGAGAAAGAAAGAAAAGGAATGCATCCCCTTTTTTAACAGACCAAAAATCAATGTCTACTAAAAAGCAGAAGTTCAATAGTATGAAAAAGATACAGCAGATAATCAACACAGGCAGTAAGGGCTGAGCGCTGCTAGATGAATAAGGGCATCGTGTTAGCAGATGGGGTGTTGAGTCTTTGATCACAGGAGTTAAAGGTCTGCAGGAGTCAGTGTAATCAAGAATTAAAACATCTCTTCAAAACCAGTTTTGAAAGCTCCTTTGAATGCTCTGGACTCAGATGGAGAAGGCATGTTATGATCTCAGTTATCAGCAGCCCTACATCAAAATAAGAGGAAACAATGATAAACTCAGAGGGTGAATGCAGGAGTATTCATCGTTTCTGAAGGGGTAGATTGGGAATTAGAGAATTCTTATAATTATACTTGCATTAATATTCTATAGCAACACTATCCCCTGAAAAGAAAGGATAAGAAAGGATTTTTTTTTAATGGGGAAATTATGCCAACAGTATGTTTTGGTTTTGTGGTAGGCCTCTCTGTCTCCTTCTTGCTAAGCAAGATGGTAAAAGAAAATTATATTTATTGAGTTTATAATCTAAATAGATGTGTGAATGAGGCAATGATGAGACTATTATCTTTCTTTAGCAAGTGGTACAAACTGATCAACTCGCTAGTCCACAATTAATAAGCAGCGTTTTACCACAGATTGTTTTTCCTCTCTGAGTATCAAGAAAGAGAGTTGGTAAAGAAACTTCAGGCACATGTGTACTTTTGTGGGAGAACAACTTGATGTGGGAAAAGAAAATTCATAGTCATAATACCTAAAACCAGTGGATGGAAAGTGCGTATACATTTTTCTTTTCAGAGTTTGCTAAATTGGGGAATACTATTCCTAAACCATTATATGGACCAATCCCAACATTTGACCCTTGATCAAACGCAGAGATTAAGCACACTGTATTCACAGAGGAACATCTAGACTTGGTTTAGGATGGTCCCAAACAGTCTGCCTGGGAAGAAGTAGTGAACGCTTGTGCTTTTCAGTCCAGAGAAGTGTAAAAGTAATGATAAATGCAAATATATTTATTGTGAAGAAAGGGCTTAAATGAGGAGGTCTTAATTCCAATGAATTTTGACCTTCCTGGCAACAGGGAAAGAAAAAAGAAAAAAAAACCTAAAAGAATGAAACCTGGAGCAGATATCAGATAGTTATGAGCTATACTTAGAAGGGAAGATAGAACAACATGAAAGAGACTTGGATTTTAGAATATGAGGAACTAAAATTGTGCAAGAAGAAATGGCAAGGGAAGAGTTAATGAAAGAACAATTGGAAGAAATAGAAAGCTGTCTGCTGCAGAAAAGACCACGAATGTGATTGTGGTGGCCACTTTGAGATCCTTTATAAATGTGACAAAAAGACAAGGTCTGTTTATGCAGGAGCACATCATGTAGGAGGAAACTTATTGCCTGTCTCTGCAGTCTGTTGGGAATTTGGGCTGAACTAGTATTATTCTTAGTACTTCAAATAACCAAGATGTATGCTGTCTGAGAAAAGAGAACAAAAAATATTAACTTGATGTTGGCACGGATAGCCAAGCAATTGAAACCTGGTTTGGTTAAGTGACTAGCAGGGTGCTTATTTCATTATAATGTTTCAAAGATATTGTGAAGGCTGAAACCCTAAACAAACAGGAGGAATTGCCTAGAATGGTACAGTAATGTAAAGTAAAGGGAAAATCATAGGTTGTGTTTAGACTGAGTTTCCAACTGAAAGATGTTAGGCCAAGCAATGGTTTTTCGGAGCATAGGAAAATAATAATAATAAAATTGTAGATAGACTTAATGGAACCAATTCTGGTTTTATGCAGAGGAACTCTATTTTTATTTTTATTTAATGCATAATATCCTTCTTCTGAATATTATCTGTTGACACACAATACATTCAAATTCAATTCAAGTGTTTCCAGTTTGTTTGAAGCAGTCCTGCATCTCCAAATTGAAGTTTGGCAACAGTTTTGTGGCAAGACAGCTTTCTGCAATTTCAGTCAGTCAACTGTACTTGCATCTTCACTTCGTGGTCAGCTTTCTGTTTCATTTGTGATTATTTTCCTAATCCCTGATTGTGCAATCCCAGAAATTCTCTCCAGTTTTCTAAGGCATCTGCTGATGCACTTAGGCTCCACTCAAGAAAAGCTTATATCTTCTGTAGATAGTCCTCAGATAGAAGTTGCCAATTGTCTGAATGTAGATTTGTTTGACTGCAATCTTATTGAGTCAGTCCCATTTTTAGAATTCATGAGTTCCTTCAGTGCATTTCTCTAGACACCAGATCTATGATTTATACTCTCCATAGTGGTCCTGTTTCTGCTTTTTGTCAGTAATCCTGATTGTGAATATCAGACTAAATTAGCTCCTCTAAAATACTGATTCTGGTGATGGAGGAAGCACTCTATGTTTTTATCAAATTAATGATTTTTGACACAATAGTTTAATTTTCAACTCCAAAAGTGGAACACTCAGATAAGTTCCTCATGCCAGGTGTATTGACCAGTTATTTATGCTGGTCATTAGCAGCAGGTGCAAGATCAGTAAACAATTTTTACTGTGCTATTAATGCAGATGGTTCCATAGCCAGGTGCAAAATGCTGAGGTTTGTGACTGACATTTTGTCAGCTGAGCCATTTGCTGATATTTTGCTACACAGCACAATTTAAGCAAGGATGCAGCAGTACAAGATGTCATTGACTGCCGAGATCTACAAACTCAGACTCGTAGCACACATGCTCATCCAATAGCTCCTGTTGGAGTTCATACACTCTGCTAAACATCCGCCATAACACGATCTGCCAACAGACAAAAGTAAATTATTGTTTCTTCAGGGTATAAAAAGTGCATGGAGTCGATCTTACCATAAATATAAAAAGTAACATATTTTAAATGATTGAGACTGTGGCTTGTGAAGCTTTACAAATGAAGAAGCATTTTCGTTTTGTGACCCATAACCATGTATTGCCCTTTTGTAGGATGAGGAAATGCTGCTTTGTGATGCACTAAGTAGTTAATCACTGCTTCCAATCGATCTTCATAACATTTCTCTAATGCCTTGAGTCTCAGATCTTCCTTACGTATGCTCTGCATGCAAAGATTGTGGTAATTTATAAAAACATACAGCTCATTTGAGTGTAAAGTCAATAGAAGATGACTCCCTAACTGCCCGACTATGGCAGTACTGAATGCCGGATTTAATTCCTTAGCACAAACTGCTGTTAGAAAAATCCAGTGCTGTTTGTAATGCCAGACACAGCCACAACGCAGTTTGGGTTAGAGATATGAGCATTGATCTTTCAGAAGATTTGCTGTCTGCCCTTGTTTTAACTTTATGTGTGCTCTGCTCTTCTAGACTGAGAAATCCAGTCTAGCCAACTTCAATATTTCTTTCCCATTGTTATCTGTGGAAAGAAAACAACAGGACCCAGAGAAAGTCTGGATGCCTTCTTTATAACAAGCACCTGTTCTGGGCCACCTGGCTACATGATTGATTGGCAGAGCAAGGAAATGAGAAAGCAAGAAGCTGTTCTCCTCATCCCCATGATTCTGTTCAGAGCACAGAAGGGGGAGAACACAGACCCCTGCATTAGAGAAAAAGTCCAAAATCATCCATGTTTATTTTCTTGTTGCTACAGTGATGCCACCTGAGGAAGTAATATGGCTTCCTTATTCATTTGGATACTACCATCTATCAAGATACTTTCTTCACAGTTTACTTTCTGAAACACTGCTGAAAGAAGAAAACATTGAAGACCAGACTGAAATGGGAATAGATAATGAATAAAAGACTTTTGGGAACAACTTAGCTTTCACTGCCAATAATGAGGGTTCTTTTCTTCATGCAGCAGCAAATTAAAACAAAGAAATGGGGTTTGAGATGGCAAAAATGAGCAGGGTATTTCCAAACCCTTGAGATACAGTGGAAGAAAAAATTTGATTTAGATTTAAAATAGTTCAAAATATTGCAAAAAGAATATCTAACTAATAAGGTAATAGATTGCTTAAGTCAAAAGCCATCTGATTATAACTTTGGCTCAATTAAGTTTCATGACAGTCACATATACCTCCATGGCTCAGACAATTTAGATTTTTCATGCTTAATATTTTTTAAGCCAGAGAAAAGGACCAGTATAATTAATTTTGTATAATGTTTTGAAGAAGGAATGCAGCAGAGATTAATTATTTTTTATATAGTGTTTGTAAAAATCATATTGAAATGAGCTATACAATTGTCATCTAGAAAGTGGAAAATCATACTGAATTCAATCTTAGATTAGAATTCAAATAACATTGTTGAAATTCCTCTTTAGACCTACCTTTAAATACTATAGATTCCTGTTTGGTAACAAAAATTTAGTTCAGACTTTTTTAGGTTTAGAAAAATTAACACAACAAGCACAACATGAAGTAAGGTAAATAAACCTCCTTTGTTTTTCTTATTTAATACATTCCTGAGTTATATTCAGACAATAAAGCAATTGATTTTTATAAAGAGCTAAGGTTTGCTCTTGTGAAACTGAGCAGCAAAAAGGTTTTGAATTGGAAACATTTCCTACTATCATTTTAACACTTATTAGAAAGTAACAAGACCCCATTAATATACATTGTGACAGAGAAATTACAAATAGGTTATATGTGAGGGTGAATTTCAATCAACAGTTTCATCAATGTGATGGATATTCTATTAACAGTCTCATTTCCATCTTACTAGTTTTCCAACACAAAGAATTTACTGACCCTGCATGTACTTTGTTCTAATGAGGCTTCATTTATATTTTCACCACCAAAATACCAGCATGATTAACTTTTAACACGGAAGGGAAGCCAAGGTCGTTTCAATCAGTAAAGAAAACCTCTAAGAAACCATTTGATCCTACAAAAGTACTGCAAATATCCTTTCCTTCTTTCATTCTTTGCGCAGGACAAAGGGGGATGCAGTGGGCAGTTGTTCTGCAGTAGCCCCAGGCATATGTGCTGTGGCTGAGGATGGCCCATTGTGATCTCAGGGCTGGATTTTGGTGCCAGTGAGAACAGACCTAGTGAAGGATTATGATGTCTCTTAGCCGTAGAGGTGGTCTGGGAGGGGAAACCTTACCCTGACAAGCTGGGAAGGTTTCCTAGCAGGGGGACCTGAGCATCTCTTCCACCTGTCCCCAGGCCAGCCAACAACTGTGGCCTTTCTCCCTCTGCTTGCTTGACACCCACAGCTGCAGCGCTAATGAGAGGGAGCAGATCAACATCCCGAGCAAGCCTGTCTGCCACGCAGCTTCCAGCACCTTCCTCGTCTCTCTGGGCAGCACATGGCGGGCGGTGCCAAAGAAGGCACGGGGCAGAGCGGCTCTGCTGCCGGGGCAGCGCCGCTGAAGGCAGCAGTGGGCTCGCAGTGCCCCATCTGCCTGGGCGCCGTGAGGAAGCCGGCCTTTGTGGCCTACTGCATGCACCAGTTCTGCTTTAGATGCATCCGGCACTGGGCCCGGGGCAGGGAGGACTGCCCCGTGTGCCGGCAGTCCCTGGAGCAGGTGCTGCACTCCGTGCGAGGCGACGACGACTACGAGCTCTTTGTGGTGGGCCTGCCCACCCACCTGCGCAGGAGGATGGCCGCCGACAGGTCCCGCAGCCGCTGCCCGCAGCACTGCTACAACCTGCGCAGGCGGCCGGCCGCCGAGCCGCCCGTGCCTGGCCGGAGCGATTCCACGGGCACCGGGAGCTCCCAGGGACAGGGGGCAGCTCTAGGGCCCTCCAGGATCCCAGCCCAACCAGCTCCTGCAACTGGCACTGCGCGAGAGCCATCCCGCAGGACTGGCCCCGGTGCTCCTCCAGACACACACAGTGGCTCGGAGTAGCTGTGGCTCCTCTACTGTTTGCAATGAACAGTTTGGTGAATGGAAAGAAATGGGTGATTGTGGCCTCTCTCTCTCCCCCAGCTCAAAAATCTGGACTTCTTGACCCATTGAGCAAAGCCGTATATATTAATCTTACTAAATTCAGGTAGCTGTCCTACAAAGAGAAAGGTGAAACAACATACCCCTGAATGAACTTCTTAATAAGTTATAAAATATCCATGTTCAATATTAATGCCATTAAATAAGAGAAAATACAAGATGACTATTCAAACCTTGATTTTTATATGTAATAAATCAAAAAACCCCATATCCTCCTTTGCAGTATTTAGGCCATGCTGTCCCTTTTAAAACTGATTCAGAATGCAAAGGAAAAGCACATTACCATAAAAACAGGGCTGAAAACACATGTCAGGAAATACACTTTATGTTTGCCTGAATCTGAAAACTAGATATCATGCATATGACGTCTAATCTGCATTGAACCATCTGATTTTCACTATGACTCAGATAACCACATGATATTTCCTTACTACTGTCTACCAAGAAATTAGAAAATGTCTTTTGTTTTGTACGTTTCCCAGTAATAATAACACTGAACACTCTGTTTGTTGAGTGTAATCAGTACAGAGTGCAATTTTACACAGTATTAAGTGGTAATATAATTACAGAGGTAAACTATCTCCTAAGACACAGTTAAGTCAAATTTCCTAGGCAGAAGAGTTTGTATTATAGCTGATACATATTCATAAGCAGACTCATTTGATGTAATCTCTCAGCTAAAAACTAAAGAAAAACTAACTGCACATCCTTCACAATTACTTAAATTTGCCATGAATCCAAATTGGATACTTGTAGTCTTTTTTTCCCTGACTGATTGAACTGTGGCCCTTTTAATCCCATGATTGAAGAGAGACTTCCCTCCATTTCAATGATTTAAGGTCGTTATACATAGCCAAGCTTAAAAACCCTTGTTTTATGAATAACATCGCAAGCAGAGATACGTTAAATGAGAGACTTTTTAAGCACTTGGAAAATCCATTGTAGCCTAGACAAAACAGGTAAACTGCATTAGGGTCAAGAAGTCCCTGGAACTGTTAGCACTGGGACAGTATTTCAGGCCAGTACCAAAGGTGCTTGTCCTGCTCTCCAGATATTGGCTAATGGCTTCTCTTCCTACTGATGGTTCTGTCCCTCTTGTCTTCCTCTCATTCTACATCTTTTTTTTCTCCAAAAATAAAATAGAAGTGAACAAGAAAAATCCAGGTCAGTTAAGAGATAACTGATGAAAAAAGGGAGAAATATAAGAGGCTAATTGATAATAATAACTTCAGATTTTTCTACCAGGACATCTGTTTTCAGAACATAACACAAACTTATTACATAGGCTGGTTTAAGGGGTGGAGGGGGAAATGAGCAGAAATATTTCCCTAATATGTAATTGAGAGAGCAGGGTACAACTGGGAGTTACCTGGCTCTGTTGGTAAATTTATCCTTGGATTTTTGGAGTAAATACACAATGAATGTGTATAATCAGCATATGACAGACACATCTATGTTACAGTAGGAATAGATAGAAAATTTGGTTGTATAGATGACAACCAAATTGTCCTCCTCTTCTTAGGAGGACAAATCCAATACATAGATCTCTTTTGCAGTTTGGGAAACTAGCCCTGAAGACAGCAGCTTGAAGGAAGGCATCTTTCTATATCTAAATTCATACAAAGCTTTAAAGGTAATAAAAATTCTTAGATTTGTAGGACTCCTTTCTTCATGACACCTTGGCCAGAGAATTTTGTTCTGCAGGCATTTGAGCAGCTGAATTTCCACACAGCAAATAGTTGAAGATTCCTTATTTCAAGATAGAACTGGGAAAGCAATAACAGGCTTTAAGAAAGAGGCATTGATTTTAGATATGTTTGGCTATTCAGATCAAAAATACTTCTGCAGTCATCCAGCTAAAGAAGAGAAGCATTAGCAGAAGATGTACCTGACAACCAGAGTTATTCAACATTGAGTCAAATCTGTCAGACTCTGCATCAGATCAGAAAACTTTATTCTTTGAATTGAGTTACTTCAGTTTTTAAGACTACGGATAATGTCATTACACCACTTACCTTGATTGTATGTGATCCATATTATAGGCTGATTTATAGGCTGTTTCAAGCACAGGTGAATCTAAACCCAAGAGCAGTTTCTCAGGCTGAGACACAAATGGAGATCCTTTTCAAGAGCAATTTACTTTTTCTTAGTGAAAACATGGTAGGTAAAATTTAGAAAACAAACAAAAAAAAAATCAGAAAAGATACTCTAAAAGCAGGAAAATACTTAAAACCCGTAAAAGTCATAAAAGGGATCTTCACAGATCTCACAGAAAAGGCTGTGGAAATATAACCATGCAAATAAGTAAATTCAAACACAAATAACTGAGCACATTAAAATTAACACCAATAATATTGTGACAAGTTTTTATATGGCATCTTCTATTCTTACTTCAGTCTTTCTATTCCATCCAATTCAGCTACTCCAGCACATGCTCATTTCCCTATCTGTTCATCAGCAGCTCTGCTTTTGGGACAGATATTCCATGGTTAGATCAGTGTTATAACTCAGCACTGCACGGCTTGATGCACAACCTGTTTGTGACCCATACCATGGAGTCTTTGAGCTGGCACATGGCACACACATAACAAATAAGAGCCCCAAGAGCTACTGAGAGCTCTTAAAATCTTTCTCCAGAGAGCCATGTTACTTCTCATCACATCTGTGAGCACAAAATTCTAGGACACCTATAATTAAAAGTACAGCTGAAACTTGTTCTTTCAAACTAGATAAAATTTAACTCCAAATTAATCCTGCATCCTAATAATAATCATGAGCTAAGGTAAAATGGTTCCAGGCCAAAGCTCTGCTAAATTACAGCAGCAGAATAAACCTGTCTGCTTTGTGCTTAGCAAGCTGCAAATGTCTAGACTTTTCTGTCCTTTATTGTTTGTATCATCACAAGTGTGGTGCCTGGCACCAAAAGTTGACGTGCTATGAAAACAAAAGGGAAATGTAGTTGACAAGATAGAAAACAAAAATGTGTTGTGTTAACTGTGTTAGGAGGAGGGTTGTAGAGGAAGATTGTGTTGCATAAGTCATCTAGCTAGGGGAGAAAGAAAAGGAAGCCTCCAGAAAGATCTGAGTTCAGTCTTTGATGCCCTGTGGGACAGGGGAGACCAGAGGGCTGGCCAGCAGTGCAGGGGTGTGGGCACATCCTGTAGGACTCAGTCCATGGGCTGGAGGACAACCAAGGAAGTCTTTTAAACAACTTAAACTGTACAGAAAAAGGAGAAATAAGAGGAAGTTTTTTCTCACAGACAATATGACGTATCAGAAGTTAGGTGGGAAAGAAAGAGTAGAAGTAATTGTTTGGTTGTTGTGATAGAGAGAAATTACCACGGGGAGAATTGTTCTTACACTGCTGTTTTTCAGCATTCTCCTGAAAAATCCGGAAAGTGGAGACATACATAAGATATAAAGGTTTGCTAGTGATATAATATTATTCACAATTGTCAAAACTAAATTGACTGCAAAGAGTTGCAGAAGGCTTTTGATTGAGACATAAAGCATCTGATGAAATTTCTATTCAATAAATGCAAAGTCATGCACACAAGGAAAATACAGTTCTAACTTTATACACAAACAGATGATGATAAGCTTAAAATGAAATATTACCAGTTAGGAGTCATGGTAGATAATTCTCTGAAAGCAGAGTAAACAAATGCAGAAAAATAATAGGGCCTTTCTGCTGGATCTTAGGGACAAGGACCACCCTTCAAGAATTAAAAATTAATCCACTAAACCTGTGCTAAACAGGACTTACAAAATTCACTTGTATATTCATTTTAATTGATGATAAACCTAGTAAAAAAATCTGAAATCACAATCTGTGTTCTGGGTAAATGCTTGAGTAGTTTAAATTCATGTCAGTGTTGTTTGGGAAATTCAGGATAAGTATCAAGGAAAAAACTTTATTTCAGTCTAACCTGATAATATGAGGCAAGGTGAACCCTGAAGACTCTTACCATGAAAAGTTTTGGCTCCAAAAAAAAGTGAGATTGAGAGGGCTCCATACTGGGACATATGGTAGGGCACAAACTGA